GCCTACTCCATGTTTCTTGCCCTCTTTATTTAGAAACCACCTTATTCTTAGAAGGATTTAATTTACCTGACAAAAATGTATGTACCTGACATAACTGCATACATGTAAATTTCAAATAGGAGTAAGAAAAGTAGGGCAAAGGGAAAACGAGAGGAGAGATGACGAAGACAAGCCAGGGAAGGGGTGTAAAGACACAGAGTGCAAACCTGAGCCGCTCTGTATTTTCCATAAACCACCGACTTGGCTCTGAGCAGCCACCACTGAGAGACATGATCCCTTTCTCGATTTAGCATGTTCATTGGATGTTCACCAGGAAAACCACAACCATCTCTGGAGCAAAACACTATTTATCCCATGAGTCTGTGCATAAAGCGGGTAACGTGAGATGCAGTGAACAAAGTCCTCAACGACACCCAAATGGTTGAGAGAAATCCTAACGACATTGACTGCTATATCCAAATTTCCCTCCACGTGAGCCAATTCAAAATCCCACAGTGGAATTTATCAGCACTTCTTCCAGTATGTTTCAAATTTTTTTTTAAAAAAAAGCAAACATATATGACTTTTATAATCAGAAAGTAAACATTTGTTTAATTAAGAAAAAAACTAAAGGAAGCAGTACCCTTGACAGCCTGGCATTGACTTTAATGTAGAAGCCCTCAGCCATGTGCTCCAAAAGAAGGCTCTGTCCAGTCCTGCTGTTTTTGGCCAGTTGAGCCTAGGTGCCAGGGTGAGAGAGGAGGCAAAGACAGGCTATTCTGAGATCTGGAGCCTTGGGGTCAAGGAATTTTTATCATGTGGATAATCAGGCTCCAGGCATTGACTATAAAAAACACTGGTGAATGGCAATTATCATTTGTCATTTCTCAAACTGAGCTCTGCATCCTTAAATCTAGTTTATCAATATACATAATTCACACCTGGATCTCTGTTGCTCACTGCTTTATGCCCAGTGCCTCGAACAGTGCCAGATACAGATGAGCAGTAAACACTTAGCGAATAACGGATGTGCTCGTCTGGGAGATCCTACAGATATTCTGAGGTTGTATTGGCAAATTCTTCCCCAGCTGGACCTTATTCATGATGTCCCAGCTTCAAGATTCTCACCTGTGACAATTAGACAGGTGAGATAGTGGCCCAGATGAGGAGGCCAAGCTCCTGAGCGTGCATCAAGGAAAACAAATTAAAAATTGAAAAGGGAAACTGAATAGCCAGCTGTCTGGTCTTGCTTTGGTCCCATTGTTGCAGAGATAAACATTTGGACGGCTCAAGGCAAACACAGCTTTGGGTTCTGAACAGGCAGTACTGCTTTCTCTTGCCCGCCATTACTTAATTGTGAAATCTGTTCTTTGTTCAATGCAGGGACCTGCCTGCTCCTAAAGGGCAGGCCTATTCTCAGGATACCGCCTGGAGCTCTGAGATGCCTGCTCTCTGTGCAGCGGGTCCCACTTGCTCGGCATGGCCCCGGCAGCCTGGGCAGGATTTTCTCAAGGAGACCTTCAGAGAGCAGCTGGCACCTTGGGCAGGCTCAGGCAGAGAGGCCTGAGTGGACCATGCTTCTACATGCAAATGTTAAAACAAGCAGGCCAAGCATCCTCAGGACCAAATTGGCTAAAAGACGGTAATGTCAAAATGTCACAGCCAAAGTGACAGCTGGCAGTGGCTTAGAAAAGAAAAGGCATTATCTTCGACTGGGAAGGAATGACACAAAAGGAGCACCAGCCTGGGAGACAGGGAGCTGGCAGGTACTAGCCTGGCTCTGTCACTCAAAGCTGAATGTTTTTAGACAAATAATTGCCCTTGCTCTACCTTGATTTTCTCAACTGTAAAACGGAAATGAATTCACCAATAAGATTGGCCTGTTTTCTTGTAATGAACCCCTGCCATACAACAGCAATAAGGAGATATGGAAAAAATACGACATCGTCCTTCCCCTACAAACTGATCATAACATTTAAGGCTAGGACAGTGCCTGGCTCACAAGAGGCGTTCAACAGTGTGATTGCCAGGAGATTATCAAGGTGGCCACTGGGTGTGCTTGGCCCTGTGAGTTCCACTTCCACAATATCACCTGCATGGACTATCTGCATCTTCTGCTTGGTGTCAGTGCAGACCGTGCCTCACCAGGACCACAGCAGGAATCTGCTCCCTTGCCATCACTAAAACAGTAGCTCGCTGCCCTAACTTGTCCTATAGCCTCCAAGCTCCAGCCTCACTCATTCAGTCTCTATTTGTCCCCCAGCTCTCTCTGCACAACACCCCTGCCTCAAAAATTCTTTTTTTTTTTTTTTTTTGAGATGAAGTCTCGCTCTGTCGCCTAGGCTGGAGTACAGTGGCGTGATCTTGGCTCACTGCAAGCTCCTCCTCCTGGGTCCGCACCATTCTCCTGCCTCAGTCTCCGGAGTAGCTGGGACTACAGGCACCCGCCACCATGCCCAGCTAATTTTTTATGTTTTTAGTAAAGACGGGGGTTCACCGTGTTAGCCAGGATGGTCTCGATCTCCTGACCTCGTGATCCACCCACCTCGGCCTCTCAAAGTGCTGGGATTACAGCTGTGAGCCACTGCGCCCGGCCCAAAAATTCTGTAGCATGGCCTTTAAAGCCCCACCAGGCTGTCTCCAGGACACTTCCCCAGACTTTGGGGTCTGCACCCCCTATTCCCCAGAGCACCAGGCTCCTTCTCTGCTTTTCCTGCTCCTCACTTCGAGGGCTTTCCTCTCCTTTGATTCTCAAGATCCTAACTCACACTTAAAAGCTCACTGCAAATGCATTCTGTCTTATTAGGCATTCTTCACAAATTCCAGCCCACCTAGTGGTCATTTTCTTGTGTTTAAGTTTGGATATGTTTTTATTTTTGATATCTTCCCACCATAAAGCAGTTCATCTTGAAATGGGAGTTTTAGTTCAAAGGCTTTCCTCCCTATGAAGGCTTTTCTGATCAGCCCTACTTTCCCCTACAGCCCCTCCCCACACCCTACACGTGCACACCGTGTTTGTACTCATAGCACTTATCCTCCATGCATCCCTTCGATAACGTCCATACAGGGTGCAATAGAATCAGAATCCTTCCTTGTTTTCTCCAGAGCTGAAACAAATATGCTTGGCCCAGAATTAGTGTTCAGTAACTCTTGGCAATGATGATGAAGAAAATTAGACCTGTCTATAATGGCCACATGGAAGGAACAAGTGTCACATTTGTGCAACCAAACTGTCTACTGCTCCCCATTCACTATCACCACCATACATATAGAATATACTACCTCCATTTTGTCCCCATGAATACCCAGACTCAGAATTCAACCTCTCTAACTTTCCAATGCAGAATCCACTCCTCTTTAAGCATGAAAGAGCAATGGAGACTTCACTGAAGAGGCAGGAGGAGAGATAGAGGTGCTGTTACACAGTGCAGCCAACAGCAAGGCACCTCCAAGTCCCCACTAGACACTGTCCCTCCTGGGTCACACCAGACTGAATTGTCTCCTTCTCTGCCTTCCTCCAAGCAGCCACTGACCTCACCAGTTTCTCTCTCCTCCTCCAAAACTCCAACTTTAAATGTCCCCTCTTCCCATTTTGCCATCAATTGACATCAGCCATGGTTTCATATCCAGACTCTTCAGCACACAGCTCACAGCAGATCCCTCGGTGAACAGAACCTGTCCTTCTTGAAGGCTGTGTGGCCAGCACCTTTCCTTACTCAAGCACCACGTTCATTCTCTCACTCCTTCCCGCAAAAGTGTGTGTGATATTGATCCCAGACATAACACTGAGTTCTCCCCAAGAAGCATTCTGAGAAGTGAAATTCTCACCACCTCCCTCCATCTACAATCACCTCCTCGCTGAGTTTTTGCTGTGAGACTCAGAGATAATGACTGTTTTCCAGTGCCCCTGCCTGGTCTTTGAGCCACCCAGGTCTCAGGATGTCCCTACTCCTTCCATCTATGAGCAAAATGACTCCTGACTGAGCCCTAGCTTCAAGCCAGGACAGGTGCCCCAAACAAAGCAGCTTCCAGAATCACAATGAGAAATCACTCCAAATGCAACATTCTTCTCAGGGAAACTCCTGACCCAGAGCAGACCCAAGAAAGAAAGCCACAGGGCAGGGCTTTCCCAGAGCATGGGCCTGGCTATGGTGACCAATTCATCACTGTTTGCCCAGGACTTTCCCAGTTTTTGCACTGAAAGACTCATGTCTCATGTACCCCTCAGTCTCAGGCAAACTGGGATGGTTGGTCACTATAAGCCTGTCCCAGTAATGATCCTTGACAAAAACCAAGGGCTCATGAGGTCAGCCAGTGAAGCCAAGCTTCATGTAAGCAGATCAGAGAGACACTGGAAATGCACAGAGAAGGGGCAGAATCAGCCCTGGTTGCAGGTGGGCCTAGGAGACAACTTCATCAGAAAAGGGCACACAAGTGAGCTCCGGGTACAAGGGCCAGGCAGCCTCAGGTGGGCTGCTGATGCATCCACCATCAGGATGACTGATTTCCACCATGCACAGGGCCCAGCTCACACATTGCAGAAAATTAGGAAACTGCTCCAAGAGGGGGTCCCTACGGGCTACCACAGGACAAGAAGAACATCCCCTGAAGGCCACCAAACACACACACACACTCACTCAGCACTCCTTGGGATCCCCGCATTTGTAACCCTTCCATAAGTTTCTGGTATGTCTTCTTAACCCTCTTCTCCTCTCCAAGATGATGGAGGGGGTGTGTGTGTGGGGGGGTGTGTGCTTATTAGCAGAGGAAATGTGCTACATCCTCCCAACAACCCTTCTCCTCTGCAAATCCCACTCCCTGCAAATCCCCCCACAAACCACTGTACACGAGGAGGAACCCAGCCTCTCCTCCATGACCACGCGAGAGCACTTGCTGCTCACCCCCACCTCCCAATAGCCAACCTCCTGCAGAAGACCCTGGGGAACATCACGTCTCATAAGCAAAGCCATCTTGGCCCAGAGAGAAAGGCCTTCTGGTGTGAGAAGTGGGTGGAAACTCACCAGGACTCTGCCAGTCAGTGTCTGGGCGGATATCATCACCCCCGCCCAGTCCTTCACGGAGGTCATCCAGCCGACCTCGGCGGCCACTGCCTCCTCTTTTTCATCCACTGGTTTGAGAGTGCCATCCGCCTGGCTTGAGCCATTGTTAATCTTCTGGGCCTCCTGGCAACAAAGAGAGCAAGAGTTGAGACATAGGGAACAACAGAATTTAAATAACATGCCCTGCCCATAAAGAGCCAGAGCCCCAAGGGGTCCCCAGCTGAGGTGGAAACTGGCTTAAAGGTACAGGAGTATAGCAAAAGGGATAAATTATGCCTTTGAATTTTTTAAAGTCTTTATTTTAAAAAGAATATTTTCTTTATTTCCTCTTAAAATATCTTAGTGAAACAAAGAAGGATGGTATTATTTTATTTTATTTTATTTTGTTTTGTTTTGTTTTTTGAGATGAAGTCTCACTCTGTCACCCAAGCTGGAGTGCAGTGGCACGATCTCAGCTCTCTGCAACCTCCACCCACCACGTGCAAGCAATTCTCATGCCTCAGCCTCCCGAGTAGCTGGGATTACAGGCAAGCGCCACCACGCTCAGCTAATTGTTGTATTTTTAGTAGAGACGGGGTTTCACCATGTTGGCCAGGCTGTTCTTGAACTCCTGACCTCAAGTGATCTGCCCACCTCAGCCTCCCAAAGTTCTGGTCTCCTGCCATTTTAAAGGGAAAAAAAAATACCAAAGCAAGAGGAAAGGCAACCTGTCTAAGATTTGGGCATGCTGAGGAGGGAGGAGAAAAGTGTGGGAGATGTCCTGTGGTCTTTGCCTACCTAACCTCTCTGCGCCTTTTCACAGCAGCACCCCCACTTTCCTTTAGGAAAATTATTATCTCTTCCTGTCAGTCTATGTGGTTCAAAGGGGACAGATGGCCTGCCATTGGCTCCAACAGTAGAGTCCTTTCTACCCCCTGACAACAGCAATTGGGCCATGAATAATCACATGATCCATATCAAGCCAATAAGACTCAAGCATGGAACATTTGCAGGAAAGAATAGGAAAAGTCATCCTTCTCTGAGAATGAAGCCACCACAGAGAAAAGTAAAAGTAATAGACTATTGATGTCATCATTTGAACACCCAGATCCAGCTGTGCCTGAAATCCACACCAGAGCCTTTCAGTGGCTTAAAATGTGCTTGAGGAAACAAGGCTGATCTCATCAGATAACTGAGCCCCACATAGTGACCTAAATTGTAAACCTTTGCACACAGTGAGTGTTCTGCCTAGAATACTCTTCTCCCACAGAGACTTATGGCCTGCTCCCTTAAGCCTTTGCTCAAATATCTCCTTTTCAAGGAAGTCTTCCCTGGCCACCTGTTTAAATTTGCAACACTTTCTTTCCAATAGCACTTTTCTGCTTTATTTTTCTCCATAGCACTTAAAACCTCTAATATACTTAATAATTCATTTACTTCTTTCACTTACTGTCTGCCTCCCCCACTGCTGCATCCTTGGTGCCCAATAGAGTGTCTTGCACAGTTGGCTCAATAACCATGAATGAATCACTAGAAAGGGCTATGAGTATCAGCCCCTCATTGGCTACAGAGGCTAGGTTTAGTGTTGCCAGATAAAATACGGGATACCCAGTAAAATTTAAATTTCAGATAAACAACAAATAACTTTTTAGTGTAAGTATATTCCAAATACTAACTGAGACATACTTATACTAAAACCTTACTCATTATTTATCTAACAATGTACATTTAACTGGACCCCAACACAAATACCCACTGCAATTATTACTGCAGATGAAGATGTTTAAAAAGATGCCAGCAAATTATGTTCATCATTTAAAACTCTGGAATTAATTCCCAAGGCAAAGTCACACTGGGGATCATTGTGATTTGGAATAAGGGGAAGAACCAAAGACAGAGGTGAAAGGTGAAAAGCTTTGTCTGCAGTGACAAAGGGGGCGAGCCAGAGGGAGGTCAGGCACATGGGAGGCAGGTGGGGAGGGCGCACTGGTGAGCCATCCTCTTGGGGACTTGGCCATGGCAGGCAGGGAGCTGCTCCCAGTTCCCCCTTTTCTCCCTCTGGCTGCCTGTGGCTCAGGGAAGCTGGGGAAGAGAGAAGCCAGACCTGCAGCCCTGGATGCTAATATTTTCTTTCCAAATGTGTTAAGCTCCACGGAGATAGAATGATCCAAGATAAGACCTCGGAGGGGGAGGCCACAGGGCAGATGTATTTGGGGGCTGCCCACTGACATGTGTGGGACCTGCTGCCCAAGCCTCCCAGGCCAGCCTCAGATAAGATCTCTTAGGTCTTGCCCTGGTCCTTGAGCCTCTGTCCTGTGAGACTCTGAACAGGAGGGTATTTAGGAGGAGGGGGAGGCCCTGATACAGGAGCAGCCATGGCAACTGAAGGTGTAGATTCAGGGAAAAAATCCAGCTCTCCCACCGCTGTGGAACCTCCTCCATAAGATGGGGACAGTACTGCCAGCCCCTCAGGCATTGTCAGGATTAAACAGTGCCCAACAGCACAAAATACAGGTTCAAGCAATGATCCCAGCACCCCTTGCTTCATCTCATGCCACTGACACCATAAAGCAATGGTTCTCACAAATGAGCAGGCATCGTAAGCACACCAGAGGGCTTATTGAAACACAGTGTGCCGGGCCCATCCCAGAATCTACATTTGAAACAAGATGTCAGGCACTGCTGATGCTGCTGGCCTTGGGAGCCCACTTTGGGGACCACAGCTCCTGACCACCCTGGTATGGCTCAGTGACTGCTGAAATGAGACACGGATCTTCACCCCCAGCTCTCTCCTGGCCTCTTCCTTCACTCAAGGACAGAACCACCTGCTTGTTTCAATACTGGACATTGGTGGAGGGGTGGGGAAAAGAGGAGGACAGGGAGATGGTCCTCACATCTGAGGCTCTAGTGTTTCCTTTTGAGTCATGCCTCCCAGGATGTTTCTGAACTGATCCCTGGCCACCACGTGGGGACCTGGAAGGCTAGTTCCCTGCTTCTCAGTCCTGGGGGCCCAAGTTCCAGAGCCCCTTGGTAGACCCTGGAGAGGAGAAATCAACGTGAAAAAGGCTGGGAGGCAGGGGGCCCTCCAGTCACAGTGGTTAACTGCATCAGTAATTCACAGCACAAGAGGTATGTGGCAGATAATGCTATTTCGCCAGCCCTCTTACCTATTGTTTTACAAGGCATTCATTATTTTAATTACTTTATGATAGGCAAGGAAAAACACAGACTAAAGGGAGATAATGCCCTTGTTATTATTTGCTTACACTAGATGTTGTGAGCTTAATTACCATGTGTGGGAAGCAGGACTGGGAGGAGTGATGGGGGAGCTATTTAAAGCCTGATGCCTACTGGCCAGGCTAGCCACCAGCCTAGCCACAGATCTTGTGCCTGGAGGAAGAGGCCCCTCTCTCCACCACTGACTTCACTGTGGCCAAAGCACCCCTTATGGGGAGCAGGCATTATAACTCCATGTTCCAAAGAAAAAGGAGCAGAGAAGGTTCAGTAGCCTTGCTGGGAACATGCAGGGGCAGAGTCCACTGTTGGCCACCATTGAACAAGCCAGAACTAGGTGCCAGCACCTAAGAATTAAGTGTTCTCTATGCATTATCTTGCTTAAACCTTATAATACATCCAACAGGCAAGTGAAATTATTTCCATTTTACAGACAGGGTGACTAAGAGCCGGTATTTCTCAGAAAAAGGCGCAGAGCCTGAGAGCTCAGGCTGGAAGCAGAGAGCCCACCTGGGCTTGTACCTGCTCCAGAACTTCCAAGCTGATGACTGTGGCCCATCAACCCTTGAGCCTCAGCCTCCTCTGTGTAAGATGGGGACAAACGTGCCACCTCATTAAGGTGGTGGGGAAGCTGAAGCTTGGCACAGTCCCGGGCACACAGCGGTTATGGCTGCCCTGATGAAGCACCCACTGATGGGGCTGGGGCCTCTAAGGGTAATCCGTTGAAGCTGCACTGCTTTCATCAACCAGTGGCCCTGGGAGGCACACTGGCCAGAGTGAACCTTTAATAAATAATCACAGAATTGAGGATAAGGGAGTGCAGGTTCTAACACTGTTATCCTCCAATGAGTAAGCAGCCCCTAGAAGGTAAGGTGCTGTGACTCCTGCAGAGCTTCTAGTAGGCGCTGTGTGACCATCACCCAGGACAGCTGGGGCAGGGGTTCCCACACAGGGTGGACCCTAGACCGAGTGACATCTCAAATCCCTTCTGACTTGAAGCCCCATTAGATCAACCTCCCATTTTTAAGATGAGGAGGTTGAGGACCAGGGAGAGGCTGCCTCCTGAGTCCCAGCATTCTGCTCTTGCTCCTGTCCCCACAGGACACTGCCTCACAGGGGAAAAAATGGTTTGTTCCAAATGGCAAAGGGGATATCCAGCCACACCCAAACTTCCACCTCTCACTGCAGAGGACCCAGTCCTTATGCAGGAAGCAGTTCTGAGTAGGGGCAGCCTGATGTCAGTCAGGAAATCACTGTGTGTGTGCATGTGTGTGTGTGCATGTGTGTGTGCTCACACCCGTGTGTGTGCATGTGTGTGTATGCATGTGTGTGAGTGTGTGCTTGTGCTCACACATGCATGCGTGTGTGCATGTGTGTATGTGCGTGTGCTCACACATGTGTGTGTGTGCATGTGTGTGTGAGCATGTACGTGTGCTCACATATGCGTGTGTGCATGTGTGTGTGTGTTTAAGGGAGAGAAATCCCACTGGCTGCAGCCTCCAGCTACCCCAGCTTCAGGAGGACAGGCCACCAGATCTTCTGAAATGGAAGAAAAGATGCCTTGGGAAAAGAGAAGAACATTGAGGGAAGGACAGGGAGAAAAATGAGAGGTGGGGCCATCGGGTGGGAAGGCCATCTCAAAAAGAGGAGGTCCTGCAGGAGCCCTCCCCCTGCCCTTGGCCACTCCCTGAGAAAGGTGTTTGGCCTTGCACTGGAGGCCACTCTGTTGATCTGCCTCCAACCCTGCCCTGTCTCCCCACCAGAGCCTTGTGTAAAGCAGGCCACAGCTGCCTCTCAGTGGCAACAGTGACATCTAATCTCAATGCCCACATCAGAGGGTGGGGAGGGATTCAGAGCAAGAGTGCAGGCACAGGAGGCAGGGAATGCCAGAAAGCAGAGTGGCCGCAGTC